TGTTGAGGAAAAAAATTAATTTAATCCATTTTGGAATAAGACTATAATGTGGCAAAAGTTAAGCACTGTAAATACTTTCTAGATGCACTGCAAGTTTATGTCTTGGTACAGACACAAACATCTAACGTCTGCACAGTACAAAAAGAGAGCTTAAGCAAAAAGAAAAAAAATGCTATTTAACTACTTCAATCGCTATGGACCAGAGCAAGTTTTACATTTCTGCAAGTTGGTCTTTGCTTAACCCCTTCCCATCGGCGCCTCTCGGCCCTTTACGAGTTTCAGAAGCCGGGACGGGACGGGCGGGGGGTGGGGTTTAGGGATCATGTGACCGCCGTGACGCGTCATCATGGCGGTCACATGATCGGGAAAGATCAGACCAGGACCTTTCCGTGAGTACCGGACATGTGTGCTGGGAGCGCGCAGGGTGCATGCTCTCAGCACATATGTTTTTTGTTAATTGAACGCAAATGTGCGGCCGCTTGGCGTCTAGGCCCAGACGCCGGGATGCCGCACATTTGTGTGCTGCCGACGTGAAGAGGTTAAGATGACAAGGTAATGCATAAATTCTTTTAAAGACAGTAAAAAACCCAACAAAACACTTTTTTCAGCAGAATTAATATAAAAATATCGATCCAGGTGTGCGTCATTAGACGTCCTTTTGAATCGCCGCTGCACAGTCGATGACCGATCTGTGTACTGGCCCGTTTAAACAACGGTTGGCTTCCTTTTATGCCATCCATTGTATACAGTTCTGTTGCTAGCTGTGATTGGTCACAGTGATCACATGGTACAGACTGGCCAATCACAGCCCATCTGTGCCATGTGATTAGCTGTGGTCAATCACAGCTAATCACAACAAAAAACATTGAATTAATCGATTTCATTCAGTTAAAATGCTTGCCTATAGCAGTAAAATTCACTGCTATAGGCAATCAAAATGTGTATAAAAAAATACTGATCCTTTCAGTCAGTGTCCTTGATTACTGCCAAGCCAGTTTATATGATGCTGTACTGCACTGGTGACAGTACACTAAAAAGAAGAAAGAAAAAAAAATTTGAAAAAAATGTTTTCCAAAAAACTACGTAAAAAATAAATTACAACGTCAAAAAGCTTGTCATGCCTCGTATTAAATACCTTAGACTATCTACTTTATAAAAAGGGGGATATCTGTACTGTTCTGATATTTTTGGGCATCAGGAAATAGGATTGACCGTCAGTACAGCAGCAGGATTGATTGATTTTCAGATATATACTATAGTTTGTAGACTCTATAATTTTCCTACAGACGAAATAATATATGCTAATTTGGGTTATTTACACCAAGGAAATGTAGCAGGATACATTTTGGCCGTAACTTTTAAAGAACAATGACTTATTTGCAAAATTTTAGACAAAGAAAACCTTTTTTTATTTTTGGTCTTTATTTACCAAAAAAAAAATAAAAATAAAATAAAAGCCAGTGGTGATTAAATATCACCAAAAGAAATGTCTAGTTCTGTGAACAGAAGGATAAAAATTTAGTCTGGGTAAATTAACAAAACAAACAAACAAAAGTTTAAAATAAAAATAAATAGTAAAACAGAAACAAACAAAAAAATCAGCAGAAAAATTGTATTAAGGGAGGAGAAAAATAAGAAGGTTATTTGGGCTGATTAGAATAAAGTAAGGTCAATAAGGGGTTAAACAAAGGACTTTTTTTTTTTTATATATGCCATGCAGCTTTAACAGACTTCATCTGCAGATCTCAGCTCATCCCTTTGATCTACAAATGAATAAACAGAATGGTAAAAAAGTAACATTATGTTACTTTGTATCTTCCTATACTGGTGCCTGAGCAATGTTGTTTATAAAAACACTGATTCAGGCTAAATACGAAAGGCATAGGAGCGCTACAATTACATAACCGAACAAACGGTAGCTGCTGTTATAAAGTGATAATCGCCTCAAATGCAAAAAGATAAATGCCCACCACACTGATGGATAACAGAAAGAGGAAGCCAGGAAAAGGCTGTTACACTCAAGTTTGAACAAAATCTTTCATAGGAGATAAACATGTGATACACAGCAAAAGTGAAGTCTCACATTAAGGCTCCAATCACACTTGTGCAACTTCAAAATCGAGCGATTTTCATTGCAACTTTGGCTTTGATCAAAAATGATTGTTTATGCTCTACAAAGTGCATGTGTATCATTCAGGTGAGGCTTTAATGCGACTTTGGAGGGTTTACACTGAAGTATATGGCCCTCAAGTCAAACTAAAGTCAGACCAAAGTAGTGCAAAAACTACTTTCAAGTCGCTGTGACTTGATGTTGCACAGATGTCAATGGTGCTCATTGGGAAGCGTGGGGTGCGACTTGTCCCCCAAAGTCGCATGACAAATCACACACGTTTGAATGGGCTCTAAAGTAACACTACATGGAGCCTTCCTTCTGCATGGTACCTGGAAGAACAACCTTGAGCCAAATTGAGGGGGCATTTTTTTAACATCAGGAGGCTAGAAAGAGATTACCTAAATGGGCAGAGCTGCACGGAGCTAGGACATATGTTTGATGTGTTATATTGACTCACTTGCTAATCCAAGGGTCTTTCCTTGTCTGGAGCTATCCCATCTTCGAGCACAAGTAACAATGCACAATATCCATCAATCATACTTTACGTGGATTAAAACTGGCACTGAGCACTGACACAAGTGTGGACGATTAAGTTTGGTTACTGACTGTTTATATTTTTTCACTGATTTAAACTGCTTTTGTGCCAGCTGCCAAAAGGTTCTCTCAGTACTCAGCAGGGAAGGGAGACTGGACATGCTACACATGTCCAATGTACATGAGGAAGTCGTTTTGGGCAAGTGTAGCATGCCGAAAGTCTGGAACTAATTTGGGGGGGGGGGGAGGATTGTCAACACAACAAAAATGAGGTTTAATCAGATTTGTGAGGCAGAGGAAGTGATTGACCAACTCTGCTGGATCAGACTAATGGCGACTCAACCACTCACAGAACCCAACCTCCGCCATAGCTAAAACCCATGGCCACAGGTAACATACATACAGATAAATTTACATATGCACTTTCAATCTCTGCATGAAGTAAAGAGATGTTTAAGTGAACTCTTGTGAAGTTGTGAATTTGAGAAGGTTAGGCCTCAAAATCAATTCAAGCGACCCACCAGATTGCAGGGAACATTAAGTTCCTGCTGAACCAAGTGAAGCTTCGGTAATAGTCTTGTTTTCAAAAAAGAACTATTAATATGTAAAGTATAAAAAATTAGAATGACTTAACATCTAACAAATAAGATTATAAGAGTGATTAATACATTACCTCACTCTCTAAAAAGAAAAAGACCAATGTCTTGACAAGATTGGCATTTGGGCTAAGCCTTCCCCTTCGTTTTAAAATCCCATCATCTTCAGGCTCTCGACAGCTAAACAACCTAGAAAAATATAAAAATTCAGCCAAATATTTTTGGTGCACATTCAAAAATCATATTACGTGACTGTTTTCAGCTCATTTTTGAAGATCCCGGTGAACGGGACCTGGTGATCATGTGATCGCTATGTAAGCAAAGCTGTTATAAATCAATGTCATTCATAACAGCTCTGCTTCTCTTCCTAATGAGCTGTGATTGGCCCACAGCAGTCACATGATACATGGGGCCAATCACAACACCCTGTACCATGTGACCAGCTCCAGCCAATCACAGATCACTATCCTGAGCTGTCAAAACTTAACTCATTCATGACAGTTCATGAATGAGTTAGGTTAATGACAGCAAACTTTGCATTGCAGTTGCAATTTCAACACCCACCGTTTTATTCTCTAGGGCCTCTGCTTTTAAAAAAAACCTATATGTTTGGGAGTTCAAAAGTAGTTTTCTAGTAAAAAACTGTTTTTTTCATTGTGAACAAAAAGTGTCAGAAAAGGCTTGGTCTTCAAGAGTGGGTGATGTGTGGCATAGGCTTCTAATGTTGGCCATGAAATGCCAGGATAATAGAAACAACCCCTCCAAATGACCCTTTTTTGGAAAGTAGACATGCCAAGGTATTTGCTAAGAGGCATGATGAGAGTTTTGCTGATCTAATTTGTTGCCACAGGTTTTTGTAAAATGAAGAAAAAAACAAAAAATTTATTTTTTCTTTTCATTTTCAAAACCCTGTGACAAAAATGATATCTGTATTATAATCACCATGCCTCTTATCAAATTCCTTGGGGTGTCTACTTTCCAAAAAGGGGTGGGGGTTTGTACTATCCTGGCATTTTAGAGCCTCCGAAACTGTGATAGGTAGTGGGGAAGTGATGAGAAAATATGCCCTTTGAAAGCCTGGAGTTGGTCATTGGATTTTGGGGGCTTGTATGTAGCTAGGCTGCCAAAAAGTCTCTCACATGTGTTTTGGTGTGTTATTCCACATATACCCATGGCATGCATGAGCAATATATAATTAAAGTGACAACTTTGTGTAAAAAAAAATAAAAAAAAATTGTCAAATAAAATGTTCCATGGACTCAACATGCCTCTCTGCAAAATCCTTAGGGTGTCTACTTTACAAAAAGGGGTCATTTGGGGGGGGTTGTACTACCCTGGCATTTTAGCACCTCAAGAAATGTGATGGGCAGTCAGAAAGCTACGTAAATTCCTATATATATATATATATATATTATAGTTAGTAGATGCTATAACGTTCACACAAACCAATTAATATACACGTATTGAGATTTTTTTGTTTTTTACCAAAGACATGTAGCAGAATACATTTTAGTCTAAATTTACGACTGTGTTTATTGGATAAATTTATAAACAAATTTTGATTATAGTGCAAAAAATAAAACCCGCAGAGGTGATCAAATACCACCAAAAGAGAGCTCTATTTGTGTGAAAAAAGGACATAAAAATTTAATTTGGGTACAGCATTGTATGATTGCGTAAGTACCAGTTGAAATAGTGCAGAACAACAAAAAATGGCCTGGTCAGGAAGGGGGGTAAATCCTCAGGAGGGCAAGTGGTTAACTTACTTTTTGTACAGAAATTCCCCTGCTGCAACAGCTACTGGTCGGTGTGCAGAAATAAACCAGGTGGTAAACATTCTCACAGTCCTCAGCAGTAAGAACTTCATCACTACTTCTACAGAAAGGTAATGCACAACAAAACAATTGTTAGAAGTAATTTTAAGCTACTGTAAGAAAAAATCATAAAAACATTACACTATGAAAATATGTTATACACATACAATAGAGACTAATGACACAAACATGATTTCTGGGAATTAGACAAAATGTAAACTTTCACTGCCAACCTCCCCTACACGCAGTGCAAGGGTTAATGACTCATTTAGGCTAGAGGAACCGGAATAAGGAGAAAAACTTCTTTTATTCCTCGTTTTCGCAGGCTTCCCAGTCCAGCATTGCCCTTGAGGTGCTTCATGCACAGATTGCCTCCTCTCATACAATGACTACTTGATAAAGGCAGGAAAACCTTTGTGTCTATCCTCACTTTAAGTGATATTTAAAGTGGCTGTAAATTCAAATTTTACTTAAATTAATTTAAAAATTTAAATAAAAATTGGTTTTAGAGGAACAGCCAGTGGAAGTATTTTTTTAACTTCATAAACAGAATGCATTCAAGTAAAAAAAAAAAAAAAACAACTTCTTTACAACCACTAGTTTTAGACTCCAGTCTTATTTTTTTTCCCAGAAAACAGGTAGCAAATGACTTTTCTAAGTTCAAAGTTACTCAACTAAAATTGTCTATATTTTCTGCCCTCTATCATATGCACAATTAAGTATATGCAATAGGCAATATTTTCCTGGCAATCGCTTCCTCTCCTGCCCGAAGACAACTCTGAGTTACAAAGTCTCTCTTCTCAACTCCTTCAGTCATTGACCAACTTTAGTGGTCATCTTTAGTAACCCATTACATCTGTATTTAGGGTGTAATATCTAAAAGTAATAAAGAGCACCTGCCAGCACTAGATGACATGAGGATGAAATTACATGCGGCATAAATGTGGTCCCACCCACATGCCCAGGGAGATAACAGCAGGTAGTGATATCACAGGTACATACAGTCTGAGTTTGGCCTGATTTTGGAATACTATTGCCAAAACACAAATCAGAAGTGGAATCAGTTGAACAAAAAGGCTAGGTTCACACAACACGCAAAGGAAAATGCTCAACTTCTCTCTACTGGACAGGCTTAGAGGGATGGTGCCTTACGTTTTTACATTGCTTACATCTTCCTCCACCCCCACCAGTCCCTTTTTTTATTTTTTTTTAATTTTATTGGAATGTCACCAAGTTACAATTCATTCATTGTTATGATGAGCAACAGTGCATAAAAAATCAGGGTACAATAGAGAGCTACGCAGTGGAAAAACGCAGCATGTTGCAGTTTCACACTGATCTGCCGAGCAGCAGATGGAGCAAACGGAGCACACAGGCAACCATAGTTTTCTGTGTGCCCTTGCAGAGAGCTGTTTTTTTTTTTACTGCATAAAAACCCAGTTCTCTGTAAGAGTGTGATCATGCCTTAAGAAAGATTGTAATGTTTGTAGGAATTAATTTTTAATACTTATTTGCATTTATAAGTACATGGATGTTTCGCTTTAAGAAGAAATCATGTATTTATATTAAAGCGGAGTTCCAGCTGAAAAAAAAAAAAAAAAAAAAGTAAAAGCAGCTACAGTTTTTGTAGCTGCTGACTGACTTTTAAAATACAGTCACTTACCTCTCCCTCAGTCCAGTGGAGTCCTCACCACGGCTGATTTCATGGCTGTCTTCTTTCTCTGGCATCTTCAGTGTGGCTACCCAGCTGTGACAGCTTGCGGCTTCACAGCCGGGTGCCCACTGCACATGTGCGAGAAGTACTGCGCTTTGTAAATGGCCCCGTAGTCTTCTGGGACCTGTCACGCAGCAGAAGTGAGCACCTGTCAAATTCGGGTACCCGGTCCTCAAAAGGTGCCAAACCTTAATGGGGAGCAGGGGACAAAGACTTAAAGCGGAACTTCCCCTTTTGGGTGGAGCTCCACTTTAAGAGCATGGAAGTAAAATGATGTATTAGAGGTAAAATGAGAAACACAAACTCACTGTAAAACCAGCGTCAAGAGCTTTATTGCTTGCACTGCAACATCATATTCCTTATCAAGAGTCATTGATACAATTCTATCCTGCAAAAGAGAAAAGGATTCCATGATCAGATATATAAAGTTAAGAAAAAAAACTATATAAAAAGAGTAAAGTAAAAAAAAAAATACCTTGAAGCGACTAGTGAACAGCTCTAGTTTGGAGTTTAGCTCTCTGTTGTAATAAAGGCCTTGCAGTGCTGTAAGGCATTTCAACCGAACTTCTCCTTGCTAAAAACAAAAATATTGGACAAACCACATTAGTAACAAAGTATACATGAAAAAAAAAAATCACAACACTTGCAACAACTGGACCAAATCGGGTGTATGACATAAAGCAGGGGTCTCCAAACTGCGGCCCAAAAGGCCCTTGGGGCACCATTTCTCCCGCTGAGACCAACAATGGGGTAGTACTTCTTCCATTGAAACCAATGCTGGGGCACTTTTCTTCCCACTAATACCAATGATGGGGCACTACTCCTCCTACTGACCATCAACCCTGCGGCCATGTTTATTCTCACTGATGCTGGGGCCAGGACATTTTCTGTCCTCGCTGGCCCTCCTAAAGTCTGAAGGACAGTATACTGGCCCTTTATTTGAAAGGTTTGGAGACCGTTGACATAAAGCATAATATAAATTACATTAAAAAAAACTGACCTGTCTTCCCAAAATAACCATGTCATATACAAACCCAATGAGTCCTACAACCCTGCACAAGGGTTACCAAAATTAATACCTTCTCCTCTATACTGATCACTCATTGCAATATGGTAAGAATACTTGCCTATTGTGATGAAAATCCTACTCTGGGCTCCACATCAGCATTTAATTACTATGGGGTTTTGTCACTATACAGTACCTGTGTGTATGATTTGTGGCAAAATTAAACAGTTATAGATCTGTGCATTTTGTTTCCATCAGACCTTGTTCTTCCTCCCTGTCTAGACTCAAGTGCATTCTTAGCTATCAGAGGTTAAGTAAATATATGTGGTGTGCAAAAGAGTAGCTTCCTCATCTACAGACACCACTGCTTACCTTATCATGCATTGTCCAACCAACATATTTTAAATAGCTGTCATTTAAGAAGGCATCACTATACATTTTCATCCAAACACCAATCTCTTCTATGCATATAGCTCTAATTTCAGCTATTGCATCTCTAAAAAAAAAAAAAAAAAAAAGAAGAACAAAGCATTAGGAAACAGCAGAAGCAAAACAAAGGCAGCATTTATATTTTTGGCGATACCTTATTTTACATACCGATATCTATGTACAAACACTCCTTTGAAAATTGCATTCATCATGTTTTCTATCTCGTCCTGGTTCTCTTGTAACTGTGAGGGAAATTAAAAAAACAAAAAAAGAATAGGTTTAAAAATAGCCGTAAAATAGCAAAGAGGCATGATTAAAACAGAGGCAACCAGTAAACTTTGCATATGGTGTGGTGCAGAAAGCAGCAGACAGGATACTTGAGGCAGAGTTCCAGTCTTCGGTGAAAAAAACTTAAAGTCAGCAGCTACAAAAAAAAGTAGTTGCTTACTTTTATAAAACAGCCACTCACCTGTCCTTGGGGATCCAGCGATGTCCTCAACGCAGCATTGTTTACAGTACGTCCTGTGTTCTGGCACAGGCATCTTAAGTGTGGGCACGCAGCTGTGACAGCTTTGTGGGAGAACTTCTGCTATTGATCGCAGCGGAAGTGGGAGCGGATACCTGTCAAAAATCAGGTGCCTGCCCCCCAAAGGTGCCAACCCTTAACAGGGAGCGGGACTTCAAGGCCTTAACCATTTCAATACCGTGCAATTTTACACCTTCCTGCCCAGGCCAGTTTTCAGGTTTCAGCGCTCTCACACTTTGAATGACAATTGCGCGGTCATACAACACTGTACCCAAACTAAAATTTTATCATTTTCTTCACACAACTAGAGCTTTCTTTTGGTGGTATTTAATCACCGCTGGGGTTTTTATTTTTTGCTAAATTAACAAAAAAAAGACCAAAAATTTTGAAAAAAAAAAAACACATTTTTCTTTGTTTCTGTTATAAAAGTTTACAAATAAATAATTGTTCTTCATAAATTTAGGCCGAGATGTATTCTGCTACATGTCTTTGGTGAAAATAACCCAAATTAGGATGTATTATTTAGTTTGTAGGAAAGTTATAGAGTTCACAGACTATGGTATAGATCTGAATATTGATCAATCCTGAAGTACTGACAGCCAATCTAATTTCTTGAGGTCCAAGAATGTCAGAACAGTACAGATATCCCCCAAATGACCCCTTTTTGCAGCGTAGACAGTCCGACGTACTTCATAAGAGGCATGGCGAGTTTTTTGAAGTTGTATTTTTTTGTCATAATTTTTCCGAAAATGAAAAAATGAAAAAAATTATTTTCACTATTTTTTTTTTACATACTGTCACCAGTGCAGTACAGCGTCATCATATAACTGGCATGGCGGTGAACAGGGACACTGACTGGTGACAGTATGAAAAAAAAATATATATATATATATACTTTATTTTTTTTTAATTTTTTTATTATATTTAATTTTTTATTACATCTTTTTTATTTTTTTAAGATTTTTTTTTCATATTTTACTATGACCAAAATAGTACAAAATGGTACATGGTACCAGCAACGGGAGCCAGTACTCGGATCTGTCATCGGCCGTGTCCGAGGTGCACGGCCGCCAACAGATCGCACTGCTACGCCGCTCTGCACTAGCGCAAACGGCGCATGTGCGGGAGCACGCCAAATGGCGTGCACCCGGAATGGAGGAGCACATCTGAAGCCGCCGGGCGGCTAATGGTTAAGGAAGAACATACCCTTTTGGGTGGAGCTCTGCTTTAAAGAGTGGAAGAGTTATTTTCAATAATGGAGGTGGTTGTTTTGACAGCAGGGATTGTGAGCGAGGAATTAATGCTTGATGTCAGGAAAAACGTACTGGGAGCTAAGAGTTAACACAGGATGGCTGTGATCAGGGCTAGAACACCTATCAAGTTTGTAACATTATGGGTGCTTCATTACAGATTTAGTCTAACTCCTGTTGAAAAAGGACTAACAAGACATAAAAGAAACTCTCCAACAGCAACAGAGAAAGGCCAAAATTTTACTTTAACCCCTTAGTGACCGAGGGTAAAACAAATGTTAATGCCTAAGCACAATTTTGCAACTGTGAAATGTGTTAGTAAAACCATACACATCATTGCAACTACTTTGTGTATCCTGGTGGATTATACCTGCTTTTTAGATTTACAGGACAAATTGGGATTGCTTTTGGTGGTAAATGGTAAAGGATATCTCCTGATTTTTTTTTTTTATTATTATTATTATTATTAAAACTGGCCCAAGTAGTAGTTTTTTTTTCAAATTTAGCATTATATTTCTTTCAATTACCATAATTTACCACCAAACTACAACTCAAAATAATTTTTCTACTCCTGACGATAGCAGCAATACCACATATGTGTTAGTTGTTAGCCCAGAAGCAAGGGTGCACATTTTGCATTTTTTTTTTTTATCTTGCCTAAAACACACTGGCACAGATACAGATTTGTGGGGGGGGTTTCTTATTCTACCCAAATATGTGACCTTTGACCCTGACTTTTAACCCTTACCTTGACCCCAACACTAACCCTGGAAAACCTTGATCTAGTAATTTTCTTTATCTTTTCTTTTTTATTTTATTTTATTTTTTTTACACATTTTCTATCTTCCACTCCTGCAAGGGAAAGATACAATGCATCTTTCCCTTCATTCAGAAGAAGTAGTAAACACAGGGGTGGGCTCAAAAATGACTGAACACTGTGACAGCCAATCAGAGATTCAGGGGTGTGATTAGGAGTCTCGGGTACCGATCGCTAGTATGAGACCTGGGGCTCTTGAAGGGTGCATATATATGTTTGATAGGTAGGAAGGGGTTAATATCACTTTAAAAAGAAAAATATTTTTGTTTGTGGTTTGTTTTGCTAATAAGCTGATAACAGAACTTACATGCTTGTCTTTTACAATTATTCATCTCTACACTTCCTCCTCATGCAGCCCCTTCATTGTGCTGCCCAACTTCAGGTATGTGGGTATGCCCCTGTGCCTGTCGTGACCTGTGATGTCTCCACTACATGCATGCCACAAGTCTCCTCTCAGGTATAATCACTCTCCATTAGGCAAGGCTTTTTGTAACAAGGCATAAACCAGGAAGAGCCGAGGCAGATCTCTGTGTCATGTGATGTACTCCAAGAAAAAGAATTTAAAGACGCACATAAAAATGATCAGTGGATTGAGCAAGAAAAAAAAAAAAAAGACTAGAGAACCCTAACTACACATGCGAGGTGGATGGGGAAATGCTACCGCTTTGCCACTGTATTCTGAAAGCATGGAGCTGCCAGCGCTGATCAAGCAGCAAAAATCAGAGAAGGCAGTTGTACAGAGGCCGATCAGTAGATCGACTTCTGTACATCCATCCTGCTCATACATGGATTAAAATTCGGCCAATCCAAGCTGAAGTGGCTAAATTTCAATTTATGATAAATTGCAGCAGTTAACTCGAGGTAACATCTTACAGCAGAAAGCACATCCAAAGCTCAAAGAGCCTTGGCCCTCAGCAAAGTCGCTTAAGAAGAAGCCAGCAACCCAATGTCCAAGGGTGAGATTAAATGAAGAAACCACCTTAGCTATAAATGATGGCAGAGGCTACAGAACCACCCTGTCCCAGTACAAGGCTACCATAGCACCTAAGACAATAGCAATAAACAGAAGCCTTGCTAATGGAGAGCAATTATGCCTTGGACTTCCTGTCTTGTTTATTGCCAGTGTCCAAACACCTGAAGGTGGTAACCTTACTACTTTAAGGGCTAGGAAGATGCAATTTTGACATCACAACAGCAAAGTACGGAGAGCCTTACACAGTCCCTACTCAGTCTTTCGAAAAATCGAAAAATAAATATTTAGGCTCGACATATATTTACAGCCCAGCACCATGTTTACTAGGACTTTTTAAATTGTTTGGGCCAAGCTGGCCTGAACAAACTATTTCTTTCACAAAACAGATGTGCCTTCTGGGCACACTGCATAACCACTTGTGGACCAGTGATATACCAGTGCATCGCTGGACTTTGAGTGGTTATATCTGGATGATGGCCTCATTGTTTTTTCAGCCAGCAGTCAACTTTCTTGTAAAAGCAATTCTAGTGACTAATTAGCTGTTGGATGGCTTTTAAAAGAGGCAGAAAAGGACGTTTCTCACACCTGCCAGCTTCTGCGGCTCTACCAAGCTCTCTTATTCCACCAGGAGACCTGACCTTGCAGCTGGCAGTTCCGCTGGAATTGCCCCCATCATCTCTATGGTCTGAGAAACCAGAAGTGACAAGCATTTTGTCACTTCTGGTTTTGACAGTTCTAAACAAACCCTAATGGTTTGAAAAAAAAAAGCATTGGATCATACCAGTCTTGGTATGGTACAAAGCTTTTAAGGGCAGGAGAAATATGGGGTCTAACAGACCCCAGATCTCTCAGTAAAGAGGACTTGTCACTGCCTATTGCTATCACAGGGGATATTTATATTCCCTTTGATAACAATAAAAGTGATTAAAAAAAACCCCACAACATTTAAAGGGACAGTGTAAATTTAAAAAAAAATTTAAAGCACTCCCACCCCCCATGCTAGTGCTCAAAGGTAAACGCACTCTTCAGCCCTACACACAGACATAACCAGCGATCACATCACACATGTGAGGTATCACCGCGAACAACAGATCGAGAGCAATAATTCTAGCACCAGCCCTCCAGTGTAAATCTAAAATGGTGACCTGTAAAGGCTTTTAAATCAATGCCTATGGATTATCTGTCACTGTTGCACGGGTGGGTGCCATTTGGAAGCGTGACATGTTTGCCATCTATTTGCTCACCGTAAAATCACCTTTCATATTTTAACAAAGAATTGAGTATTATATTGTGTTTTTGTGCACTATAATTCATTAAAGTCCCCCCCCCCCCTCAAAAAAAATAGTGTTTGAAAAAAAAACGCTGCACAAATACCATGTGATATAAAAAATTGCAACCCCCACCATCATATTCTCTAGGGTCTCTGCTTTAAAAAACCTATAATGTTTTGGGGTTCTAAGTAATTTTATAGCAAAAATAATGATTTTGTCATGCAAACAAAAAGTGTCAAAAAAGCCTTGGTCTTTAAGACTCGCATATCTAGTAGAGTGTGCCGTGACAGGAAAGGGTAGATATGTGATCCTAAATGACCATAAATTTGGAAAACTGTCAACCTAAGTCATCTAGGGATGGTGCAACGAGAAGCCAGTGTTTCATTGCAGGGTCCATCCAGTGAA